CCAATTAAAAAATGGGCAGATGAGCCCTGGCCGGTTTGGCTCAGCGGTTAGAGCATCAGCCTGCGGTCCACAGAGACCTGGGTTCGGTTCCCGCTAAGGGCATGTACCTTGGCTGCAGTTTGTCCCCGGCCCTGGTTGGGTCGTGTGGGTGGCGGCCACTCGATGTGTCCCTTTCACATCGATGTTTCTCTCTCTTCCTCTCTCTCCTTCCCGCTCTGAGTAAAAAATGGAAAAATGTCCTCGGGTGAGGATAAAAAAATTAAAAAATAAAAAAAAATGGACAGATGAACTAGATAGACACCTCTCCAAACAGGACATACAAATGGCTAAGAGACATATGAAGAAATGCTCAGCATCACTAATCATCAGAGAGATGCAAATTAAAAGGACTGTGAGGTATCACCTCACACCTGTCAGAATGGCCGCCATCAACAAATCATCAAACAACAAGTGCTGGTGAGGGTGTGGAGAAAAGGGTACTCTAGCACACTGCTGGTGGGAATGCAGACTGGTGCAGCCACTATGGAAAACAATATGGTGTCACCTCAAAAAATTAAAAATTGAACTTCCATTTGACCCAGTGATCCCACTTCTAGGAATATACCCTAAGAAACCTGAAACACCAATCAGAAAGAATATATGTACCCCCATGTTCATAGCAGCACTATTTACAATAGCTAAGATCTGGAAACAGCCCAAGTGTCCATCAGTAGACAAATGGGTAAAAAGGCAGTGGTACATATACCCAATGGAGTACTATGCAGCTGTAAGAAAGATCTCTTATTCTTTGAGATGACATGGAGGGACCTGGAAAGTATTATTCTAAGCAAAACAAGCCAAACAGAGAAAGACAAGTATCATATGATCTCACTTATTTGTGGAATATAATGAACATAACAGTCTGAGGAACGGGGTAGTCCCAGAGACGTGGAAGTGGGGTGCACACTGACAATCCCCAGGAGAAGGCGGGGGAGAGATAAACCACAGAACTTATATGCATGTATGCATGAACAATGGATATGGACAACAAAGCTGGGGACAGGGTGGGGAGGGAGGGGGGAGGAGTATCAGTGGGGGAAAAAGGAGAAATATTTGTAACAAAAATTAATTAATTAATTAATTAAAAAAGAAAAAAAAATCTCAGTTATAGGAATAAAATTATTGTTTGATCCACTCCTAAAAGAGATTTTGGTCACTTCAGTGCTTAATTTCTGAAATCTCAAATAAACATTATGTGGGGGAAAAAAATATATATATATATATATAATTCAGCCCTGGCCGGTTTGGCTCAGCAGTAGAGAATCAACCCGAGGACCAAAGTGTCGTAGGTTCGATTCTGGTCGAGGGCACGTACCTCGGTTGTGGTTTGGTCCCTGGCCCTGGTCAGGGTCGTTTGGGAGGCAGCCAGTCAATGTCTCTCTCTCACATCAATCTTCCTCTCTCTCTCTCTCTCCCCCCATCTCCCTCCCTCATTTTCTCCCACTCTATCTGAAGATAAATGGGAAAAAATATCTTTGAGTGAAGATTGGAGAAAAAAAATTCTAATATAGAATTTAGTGTCATTAAGTACATTTACAATCTTGTGCAACCATCACCACTGTCCATTTCCAGAACTGTTTAATCATCCCAAATAGAAGCTCTGCTCTATTGTTTAATGGTAAATAAAATTACCATTGCCCTCTTTGTCCCCTTCCCCCAGCTCCTGGTAACCTTTACTCTACTTTCCATCTTTATGAATTTGCCTGTTCTGGGTACTTCGTGTAAGTGGAATTATACAATATTTGTCTTATTATTTTGCCGTATTTCACTTAGATAATGTCTCCAATGTTTTAGAATTTTATTCCTTTTATGGCTAAGATTCCATTGTATGGATATACCACCCTTTCATCTGCAGATAGACGTGTGTTTGATTCCACCTCTTGGCTATTGTGAATAATGCTGCTAGGAACATTGGTTTACAAGTGTCTGGAGTTTTTTGCTTTGTTGTTTTATTTTTGGTGGGAGGTGTTTTTGTTTTGTTGATCCTCACTCGAGGATATTTTTTCATTGATTTTTTGTTTGTTTGTTTTTTATCCTCACCCGAGGACATTCTTTTCATTTTTTGTTCAGATAGAGTTGGAGGGAGAGAGGGGGAGAGAGAGAGAGAGAGAGAGAGAGAAACATGGACTTGAAGGGGACACATCGAGTGGTTGCCACCCGCACGACCCAACCAGGGCCGGGGACAAACTGCAACCGAGGTACATGACCTTACTGGGAACCCAACCCGGGTCTCTCTGGACTACGGGCCAACACTGTAACTGCTGAGCCAAACCAGCCAGGGCTCCACTGATTTTTATAGAGAGTGGAAGGAAGGGACGGAGAGAGAGAGAGAGAGAGAGAGAGAAATATTGATGTGAGAGAAACACATGGATTAGTTGCCTCCCACACAACCCCAACTGGGGCCAGGGATCGAACCTGCAACCCAGGTACGTGCCTTTGACCAGGAATTGAACCTTTAACCCTTCAGTCCACGAGCTGACACTGTAACCACTGAGCAAAACTGGCCAGGGCTACAAGTATCTGTTTTAGTTCCTGATTTCAATTTATTTTGGTATACCTAGGAATATAATTGTTGGATCACATGGTAAATTTTTGTTTAACTCTTTGAGGAACTGCCAAACTGTTTTCCACAGTGGCTGCATCAATTTACATTTCCATCAACAATGCAGAAGTGTTCTTTCGGTTTCTGTACATCTAACACTTGTTAAACACTTGTTATTTTCTTTTTTGTTGTTGTTTGTTTGCTTGATAGCCATTCTAATGGGTGTGAGTGTAAATTCATTGTAGTTTTGACTTATATTTACCTAATGATGAATGATACTGAGCATTTTTCCATGTACATACTGGCTATTTATATATTTTCCTTAGAGAAATGTCTAGTGGAGTCCTTTGCCTATTTTTGAATTGGGTTGTCTGGGGGTTTTTGATGTTGAGTTGTAGCAATTATTTATATATTCTGGATATTAATCCCTTATCAGATGCCTGACTTACAAATATTTTTCTTATTCTATTAGTTATCTTTTTATTCTCTTGATAATGTCCTTTGATGCATAAACGTTTTTAGTTTTGATGTAGTCCAGTTTATCTGGTTTTTTCTTTTTGCCTGTACTTTTAGTGTCATCCAAGAAATCATGGCCAAATCCAATGTCGTGAAGATTTTCTCCTAAGAATTTTAAGGCTTAGCTCTTACATTTAGGTTTATTTTTATTTCATTTTTGCATACATCCTTGATTCTTTTCATTCTTCCTTTTGCCTGACAAATACTTAGTGAGATCTTACTATATATAATTCATTGTATGGGATGCAGTGAACGGGGACCATGGGTCTAAGTGACAGAAGAGAACCGATGAGAGAAGAGTTAGAGCTGGGGTGAGAACCAGGGCCAGATACTGTGGCATTAGAGGCTATGGTTTTGTCCTCATTGCAATGGGAAGTCATGGGAGAGCACTAAGCAGGGGAATGGTATGGTTAGATTTATACTCCGGAGGGGGAGGGGGGGATCACTCTGTTGCCATGTGCTGAATTACCTCTAGGGGGTGAGAGTGGAGCAAAAGTGGAAACATCATTTAAAGAGGGGAAGTAGAACAGAGGAGTGAAGGTGACTTAGACTTGGATTGTGGTGGAATGGGAGGTAAGAAGTGGCTGGATTTGGGACGTTTTTGGAGGTTGATCTGACAGACTTGCTGATGGATTTAACACATAGGGAAGGGAAAGTAAAATCTGGGAGGATTCCTAGGTTTTTGCCTTAGTGACCGGTTGTCCTTTCTGAGATGATGAAGTGGGAGGCAGGGGGATCAGCGTTCTTCTATCTTGTATGTGTGAATTTTCAGATGCCAATATCACCCCTCCCCACGTCTTCAGTAATTCAGTAAATAATTGTTGAGGACCTAGTTACCATGTGCTAAGCACTCTGGGAGGTACTCAGCATGGGGTAAACACAGCCCTGCCTTCACGGAGCTTCCCTCTGCCACCAGGTATGCTCTCAAACAAGTGCTTTTCACAAGAAAACAGATCAAGAGACCCATGAAAATGGACCCCCCCCCCAAACTGCTACATTTCTTAATTTTATTTAGGCCCAGAAATTTGGACACAGGATAGTCATTATAATATCTTGTAATCCCCTGTCCCAGAGGAATCAAGGAGCTAGCGACAAGAGTATAAATAGCAGAAGCATGTGCTGGCTGGCTCTGCTGACTGTGCTCAATAACCACTGGAAAAATTGAGCAAGTCACTGAATTCATTTGGGAAGGTAGAGATAAAACCTTAGTTAATAATTGAAAGGGAGTCACTTATTGCCCGTAGCCTGAAAGTTATGTCCTAATGAAGTTCTTTTGAATATACCTGAAGTCCAAGTTGCAAAATATACAGTCTTTGAAGTCAGGGATGACCTAGTTCTGTTTTCTTTGCTGTGTCTGGAACAGTGCTCTCTGTACCTGGAACACTGTCCGAGGTTGCTGACCAACACGTTTGGTCATCATAGGAGGTATTTGCCCTGAGGTCGGTTTAGTTCTGTACATTTGGGCAGAAAGCTATTGGTAGGGCATAAGGCAAGGACAATTAGGCAAGACATAAGGCTTTTCAAAGTTGGACAGCATAGGGAATATAGTCAATAACATTGTAATAACTATGTGTGATACCAGGTGAGTACTTAAAATGTTGGGGTGTCGCTTTGTAAAGTATGTGATTGTCTAACCACTATGCTGTACACCTGAAACTAACACAAAATAATATTGAATTAAACTATAATTGAAAAATAAAATAAGAAAGCTGTGTGGGAAAGAGGCATCACTTGGTAAACTTTTGAGTTGGGAGTCAGCTAATATGAAGCAAACAAGAAATATGAATTTTAAAGACATAACTATTATTAAGTAATTTTTTTATGCCCAAGTTAATTTGCTTAACCTAGTAGCTTTTACTGTCTTTTCAAAGCCCTGAGAAACTCCTTTTGTTTGCCGTTTCAGGAAAGGGTCACCAAGCTCTCACCACGCCCTCAGTCCGAAGAGGATCTGTCTGCTCTATTTGAGGCTTCAATGAAACTGTATTAATTTTCATTTTCACTGAAAACATTACCATTGGCTATCATAGTTCTGAAATCAGAAGTTGATCTGGCCAGAGCTCTCTCTTTTCATTTCCACACATAACCTATCTGTTACCAGTTTGAATGGGATATAAATGTATCCTGCAGAAGATTCCATCATGCTTCAAGTCAGGCTACTTCCATAATACAGATTAGACAGATGCCCACAGTGTTGGACCCTGGTTTGTGTTTCTACCTTAAACCCTGCTGACGGCTCCTGCTTCGTGTATCAATTAGGTAAAAACTCATTATCTATCAGAAATGTTAATGTACGTATCCTATGCCCAGTAATCCATGTCTAGAAATTTATACTATAAAAGCATGAGTGTGTAAAGATATACAGCAGAGATGTTTCTGGTAGCATTTTTTTCTAATAAAAAATTTGTAAGAACCTAAATATTCATTAAAATTATATTGATAAATTACAGTATATTAAATAATAGAATGCTATTGATGCTAATAATAAGGAAGTAAAACAATTGGAAATATGTTCATGATATATTGCTAAGTTGGAAAAAAGTAAGTTGCAGACCAATTATGTATTAGTATGGTGTGGTTTTTATGTTTTTAATGACATATAAATATATGTCTATATGTACATATAAAAAAGTGCACATCAAGATATTAAAAGTTATCACTGGAGAAATTGAATTTGGGGTATAAAGAAGTAAGAGAAAATACATTATGTTCTATACTTTTGTTTTTTATGTTATAAACATCTATATTTGGATTTGTTACAATAAACATAGATCTTCTCATTTTAAAGGCAGGGGAAGATCCTGGCCAGTGTGGCTCAGTGGATTGAGCATCCTCCCCTGGACTGAGAGGTCCCCGTTCGATTCTCGATTCCAGGTCAGGGCACATGTCTGGGTTGTGGGCTTGATCCCCAGTAGGGGGTGTGCAGGAGGCAGCCGATTGATGTTTTTCTTTCACATCAATGTTTCTATTCCCCTCTCTCCCTTCCACTCTCTCTAAGAAAATCAATAAAAACATATCTAAAGGGAGGGGGAAGAAAAGAAACAAAAATACCACTTAACTGTTTTAGGTAAGATTCATCTTATAAAAATACTAGTATAAAATATAAAAATATTTTATAAAAATAACTACTATGTAAAAGGTAAAAACAAATACAAAGGGGTAAAATATTAGAGACTTCTACTCTGGCAAATAAATTGTTCTTTTGAGAAAAACACTTTTTTTTAATTGAGGTAACATTGGTCAATAACATTATATAAGTTTCGGGTGTGCAACGTTACAGTTAGATGTCTGTATACACTAGAGTATACTCACCACCTAGTTTCCATCAGTCATCATACATTTGACCCCCTTTACTCTTTTGCCCTCCCCCCCATCCATTTCCCCTCTGGTAACCACCAATCTGTGGTCTGTATCTATGAGTTTGTTTTTGTTTTATTTTATTATGTTTGTTCATTTGTTTTGTATTCCACATATGAGTGAAATCATATGGTTTTTGTCCTTTTCCATCTGACATATTTCATTTAGCATAATACCCTCAAGATCCATTCATGTTGGCAATATTTCATCTTTTTTTTTCCTTTATTGATTTTAGAGAGAGAGGAAGGGAGAAGGAGAGAGAGATAGAAACATCGAAGAGAGAGAACATCTATTGGCCACCTCCTGCATGCCCCCCACTAGGGATTAGGCCCACAACCTGGGCATGTGTCCTGACTGAGAATCGAACCAGCGACCTCTTGGTGCATGGGTCAATGCTCAACCACTGAGCCACACCAGCCGGACAATATTTCATCTTTTTAATGGCTCAGTAGTATTCTATTATAAATATGTAGCACATATTCTTTATCTATTCATCTGTTAATGGACGCTTAGGAGTTTTCATGTCTTAGCTATTGTAAATAGTCCTGCAGTGAACATAGGGTACACATATCTTTTCAAATTAGAAAACACTAACATTTTACATGGTAATTCCCTCTTTGGAAAAATGTTTCTGGTGAACAGAATAAATTAATTCAAGAGCAAGCACTTTTGTAGTCAGCCTTGCAAGTGGAATCTAAGGAGCATGATGGTCTGCCTCCCTGTTTTTCCCGACTTGCAGAAACTTCTACGGTTCATTTTCCCCACAAAGGTTCCCTGAGGTCTGCCTGCTCAAGCTTTGGGTCCTAGATCTCAGTGTACTTGTGGAATTATTCATGTTTTAAATTGAATTAAAGTTTTAATCAAGTCAGTAATGTATATTTAACTACATCAGGATTTTTTTTTTTAATGGATGAATAGGGCATTGCTGTACCATTCAACCTGCCCAGGCCCAATTTATGCCTATAAAGATCTTTATTTCCTTGAGATTTTTAAAAATTGATTTTTAGAGAGAGAGGAAGAGAGAAAAAAAATCAATTAGCTGCCTCCTGCATACCCCTACCTGGCATTGAGCCCAAAACCCTGGCATGTGCCTTGACTAGGAATCCAAGCGGCAACCTTTCAGTGCAATGGGATGATGCCCAACCAGCTGAGCCACACCAGCCAGGGCTCCTTAAGATTTTGAAAATAACATTTAAATAATGTTTATTGCAGGTTTCCTGTAATTGCAAACATAAAATATGTTCAGTACCAAAAACTGGTTATACAAAGATAAACACAAAAGAAAATATTTGTTCATATTGTACCATCTAAAAGGTAGCCACTGTTACCCAGCTGGTGTGGCTCAGTGGATTGAGCATCATCCCGGGGACTGGCAGGTCCCAGTTCGGTTCCCAGTCAGGGCACATGCCCAGGTTGTGGGCTGCATCCCCCAGTGGGGGGCATGCAGGAGGCAGCCAATCAATGTTTCTCTCTCATCAATGTTTCTATCTCTCTCTCCCTTACTCTCTCTCTAAAAAATTAATAAAAACATATGAAAAATAAAAGGTAGTCACTGTTAAAAATGTAGTATATGTCCTTTCAGTAATTTTGCACACACACATATATATACACTATATATGCATATATTTTTTACTTAGAAATGATATAGTTGCAATTCCTACTGTGTATACTGATTATTTATACTAAGTGTCCCAAAGGCAAGCCTAAGACAGCACCAACAGAATTTTGGCTATACCTTGCAGACCATATCTAGCTAAAATCCCTTCCAGTTTTTTTTATCATGGGTTCTGAGAGCAGAAACTTTGTGAATGAGGCCGAGAACAGTTAAATTCTCTGCCAATCAGATCCTTCAGAAAACTTTAGTAAAAATTGTTCATGAATGTCTCAAAATACATTGGGCATAGCACAAACATATGTCTCCCCCCAAAAAGAATCCATGAAAGAGCTCTTGTCATTTATTCTGAAAGTAAATGTGCATTGTTAGAGCAGCATTAGGCGAGGAGTCAAGGACCCTGGGTTCTGCTCCAGGCTCTCGGTCTGACCATCGTGCTTGATTCAACCTAGGCCTCTTCCAGCTTGAAAATACTATGACCAGCCCTGGCCGGTTTGGCTCAGCGGTTAGAGCATCCACCTGCGGTCCAGAGAGACCCGGGTTCGGTTCCCGCTAAGGGCACGTACCTCGGTTGCAGTTTGTCCCCGGCCCTGGTTGGGTCGCACGGGTGGCAACCACTCAATGTGTCTCTTTCACATCGATGTTTCTCTCTCTCTCCCCTTCCCACTCTATCTGAACAAAAAAATGGAAAAATGTCCTCTGGTGAGGATAAAAAAAAGAAAGAAAATGCTATGACTAGATTTTATGTGTTACCTAGTCCTTAATGTGAGATTTTTGAGTATGGGAAGGTTTTTTGTTTTGTTTTTTTATCCTCACCCGAGGATATTTTTCCATTTTTTGTACAGATAGAGTGGGAGGGAGAGAGAGGAAGGGAGAGAGAGAGAGAAACATCGACATGAAGGGACATATCGAGTGGCTGCCACCCGCACGACCAACCAGGGCCGGGGACAAACTGCAACCGAGGTACATGCCCTTAGCGGGAACCGAACCCGGGTCTCTCCGGACCGCAGGCCGACGCTTTAACCGCTGAGCCAAACTGGCCAGGGCGAGTATGGGAACTTTAGTGTACAATAATTTGAGATACAAAAATGCATTCTCTTTCTCTTTAAATGTTCGTTGCCTTTACTACCAGTAGCCAGATGTCTAAATGTGACTCACCAGGAGGAGCGTTTGCTATTCATACTGATGATGGCTCTAGAGGAAGGATTTAAAGGTCAAGCATGAAGAAACAGATTTTGGAAACCTTCATGTTTTTTATCTTAATACCCATCATATTTGGTCCTCACAATTTAAGTATATGGAAAAGATATGTTTTTTGACTTACCAACTATTTTAAAAGTGTGAGATAGAAGATTAGGCCCATTTCTGCTCTGGCCAGTTTGGCTCAGCAGTTAGACCATCAGCCTGCGGACCAAAGAGTCTCGGGTTCAATTCTGGTCAAGGGCACATTCCTGCGTTGCAGTTCAGTCCCTGGTTCTGGTTGGGGTTGTGCGGGAGGCAACCAATCCATGTGTTTCTCTGATATCAATGTTTCTCTTTTTCTCCCCCTCCCCCCCCTGCCCCCAACCTCCTATTCTACCTGAAGTTAAATGGGGGGAAAAATCCTTGGGTGAGGATTTTAAAAAATAATAATAAATAAAAGATTAGGCCCTGGCCGGTTTGGCTCAGTGGTTATAGCGTCGGCCTGCAGTCCAGAGAGACCCTGGTTCGGTTCCCGCTAAGGGCACATACCTCGGTTGCAGTTTGTCCCCAGCCCTGGTTGGTCGTGCGGGTGGCAGCCACTCGATGTGTACCTTTCACGTTGATGTTTCTCTCTCTCTCTCTTCCTCTCCCTCCCACTCTGTCTGAACAAAAAATGGGAAAATGTCCTCGGGTGAGGATTAAAAAAAAAAGATTAAGCCCATTTCCATAAACCAAACACTCTGATGTTTGTGAGACAATTGACTGCATTTTTCTAAATCAAATCCTTTTTTTTTTTTATTAAAAAATCTAAAAGTCTTTAGGACTCACAGCTACATTTATATGGATGCATTTACATGCTAAGGCAAAAGGAACATCAAAGGGCAGTATACCAAAAGCCTGTGAAATACTACTTTCATAAACTATCCTCTATGGTGACATTTTCACTTAAAATACATGCACATCCTAATTTATTTCAAGTCAGTCATGTTGCTACAGTTTTTGTCAAGTGCCACAGTAAAGAGCTGACTGGCTTTGCACTCCTGTCCCTTCTCTGTGCATGCGGAGCGCTGTGTTGGGCTTGGCATTGTTCATGTAGGTGTGGACACAGCTGTGGGGTGTTTTCAGTGGTCAATGAACTAAGTCTGCTCTTGTAAAACCCAGACAAGTACAGTATCAAAATAAAGAGAGAGAGCGCGCGTGCAAAAATTGTTTTTCTGGCCTTTTAACCCTGAGAAAGATTAATGGTTGTTTGGATTA